TTGTAGTTTTTCTGGACTAATGTCATGGTCTTCTTGCGTTGTATTTTTTTGATTGCTTGAACATATTAAAGCCATACAACTTTAAGTGAGAGTAATTGCTGTAAATGGTGTTATCTTCTAACTAGTGGCTAAGTGCTGGAAACCGAATAAACCTTGTTCCTTTATCTGATTTACGGGGTTGCTGACAGTGCTGTAGTTATTCCTGCTAGTTTGATGGGCTCTTGAACTGGCTAAAGGCTTTCATTTCAGTGTTTGGTTTTACTTCAAATTATTTGTAAATATTTTTTTTTTCCAAAAACATAGGTTAACTTATAGGTTTAAAAAGTTTATAATCATCTTATTTAGTTGGTCTTTCCAACATTACTTAGGTTGCTGGGCTAAGTTGGTCTTGCTTTAATTTTGTATAAATTTTGTTTGTTTCTAGAGTACCTTTGAATCCAGCTTTATATTCTAAGTTTAGATTGCTTTGCCCAGAGTTGTTATGATACTTCCTAGTCCATTTCTCTGCAGAAAAATTATTGGTCCAATTATAGTTCATAAGAAAATGATGGCACTCTCATGACACTGTTATGTTTGTCTTACAAATGGTGCCTTTCTGCATTCTTCTCTGATTTTACTAAATGCTACTATATTACCGGGTCATTGGGGTATAGTCTAGAAGCTCTGCGCCTGTGCTGATGCTCAATTGGAGTCATGTCTCATACAACTTATAGACTTGCTATTTTTTGGACTTAATTTTGAAGATCTTATTAGGAATCAATGCCTACTGTTAAATTTTCGGAATGACATTAGTGAATTTGTTACTTTGGCAGTGCATCTGTTAAAATGGTTAAGCCTAAAGATTTTTCTTGGTTAATTATTTTAGTTTCCTTTGATGATCTTATTCTTTTTATCATACAGTATTGTGAAGGGGGCTCGATCAGATGTGTCAAATGTTGTCAATGCTGATGAATTTGAATACAAGGATCCTGTCGATGGCTCTGTTTCAAAGCACCAGGGTATCCGGTTTTTGTTTGAGGATGGATCACGATTGGTAAGTCATTATCCTCCTGTTTTTACTAACAAAAATTTATCTGAGCGAACCGTGTCATTCTCTAGTGCAGTGAAAAATATTTCTAGAGTTTATATGAAGTAACTTTAATTGAAACATTATTTATTTGATTTTACTCCCTGTCCATAGGTTTTCCGTCTCTCTGGAACTGGCTCAGAAGGTGCAACTATCCGTCTTTACATTGAGCAATATGAAAAGGATCCATCAAAAACTGGAAGAGATTCCCAAGAAGCACTTGCTCCTCTTGTGAGCATCCTTAAACTTCTGTCTAAATCGGTCATAGTTCCACTTTAGATAACTTGTATGTATATATGATATATTTAGACTGACTCTTGCTTTTGATATCAGGTGGAGGTTGCTCTAAAACTTTCTAAGATGCAGGAGTTCACTGGCCGATCTGCACCCACCGTTATCACATAGACTCCTACTGCTACAAGTTAAGGATTGTCTGATAAGACAAAGTACTACTTTGAGGAAAATAAACATAAATACACTGTTCAAATCCTGGCTAGATAACCTACATATATATATATATATATTTGTCATTGTGCATCCGTACCATGAGTATCATAAATGACAGATAATACTCATCAAAATTTTTGACAGGGTTCATAAAATAATTTGAATGTTCTAGCATTACTTGGCATGGATGCCTTCCTGATACTCGTATCCCGTCTCCAATTTTCTTTTTGGTTGAATTGTCTCCAAAATTTCGTTTCTATATGTTTGGCGGTTCAAGATCGTACATGTAAATTAGAAGTGTAATCAAGCCTGGCTAATAAAGTTTTAGGTACAAGCTCGGCTAGAGTAAAATACGTGAAGTACGAGCTTGCTTGAGCTTTGCTTCAGCTTTACTTGCTTGAACCCGATCTAAAAACATAATCGAGCTGTTTGAACTTGCGTTGATTTGATTCAAATGTCATTAACTTAATTAAGGATCCTTTGAGACTCAAACTGGATTATACTAAATAATTCACCATTCATTTCAGATTGAATGTTCAATTTTTATTTGGCATGAAGATTAAGAAAACCGTGTTGACTTTAGTGGTTTTATAATTTTAAATAAAAAATTACAAAATTGATTTTTATAGCTTTTAATGCCAAAAAATAATTATTAATATGAAATATATAAAAAGTAAAAGTTGTAGGTGTTGGAAAAAATAATATAGTATTAGAATAACTCAAAAAAGAAATTAAGGTGTACATTTATTTTCGATAGGAAAGAGTACTTAAAAATACTAAAAAATTCGAAATCTTGATAAAGCTTGAGAGCTATTTAAATCGATAATTACAAAATTCAAAATCTTTATAAAGCTTGAAAATTACATAATCGAGTATTACAAAACTGGAAAATAGATTGATTTGTCATCGAAGTGGTATAAGTTGGAGTTTCAGCAATTGACAGTATCTTAACTCATTTACATCTTAATTAAGTCAGATTTAGTAAGTTGTTTATCCAAGCTCGCAATAACTAATTTATAAATATTTATAAAATACTATATTATTATTATTATTATTATTATTATTATTGTCCCTATCTATTTGCAAATTTAATACAATCCTTCGATAAGTCTCAAGTCTCATCCTAATGCAGAGATTACAACACTTAAATTAGTCAACATTTGACAAGTCTATAATCTCATCTTGATACGGAAGTCATAAATAATAAATTTGTAAGTATTTATTTGGAACATTAGATTATCAAATAATCGAGCCTTTTTTTAATTAATTAATCAACATACGACATGGCACGCTTCTAATTGACGTGTTTATCATGAAATAACAAAAGTAGAGTTCAAAACCATAAAAATATAAATTATCAATAATTATATAATTTGTTAATAAAATATATATATTTTTTATTTTAATGATCAGGATTTAAATCAAAGACTTATGTTTCTTTGAATGGGGCTTAAGATTGTGAATAATTATAAATATAAGAGGATTAAGAGATAAGGATAAGAAAAGTTAAGGCAGCCAAATGTTTGTGGAGTGGGCAACTCTGCTTTCCAAGTGCTGTATAAAACCTAATCAATTCAACTAGTTATTTTGATTCTTAAAACGACGTATCAAACCTTCAATTGTTGATGATGAGACTATCTGCCTAATGGATACCCTTTTTTGTCAAAAAGGAGAAAAAGTGTAAAAAGCAAAAGGATTATTGACGAATGACCAACAAGACTTAAGTTAAGCATGTTCATGAAAGCTATATCTAATTTGTAATTTAATTTTGAGACTGATTCTCAAAACATTATTATATGGACTGTATGCACGACAACATGATTGACATAATCTATGTATTATGAGGCTTCATTATCTACAGTTCTTTATTTAATTTCAAATTCCTTATTATATTACTGTGTTTATATTAATGTTTTCATTCTTTAAAAAAAAATAAAGAATTTAAAAATCCATTAAACAAATAAGTTGACCTCCCTTGATCTGTCATTAGCTACACACACACACACATATATATATAAAAGAATGATAAATTTATATAATGTAAAATTTTTTAGTTTTATATATTTTTTAATCATTGATTTTAATAAATCTAAAAGATGAGTTTTTTTTTTTTTTTTACTTATCTCTCTCATATTTTATATCTATATATTAAAAATTAAAAGTTAGAAAAATATACAAAATTAAAAAAATTTTATATTGTGTAAGTTGATCTCTCCTCATATTACATGATGTAAAACATTTTTAGTTTTACATATTTTTTAATTATTAATTTTAATAGATTCAAAAAATAATTTTTTTTATTTTTACTTATCTTTCTCATCTCTTATATTTATTAAAATCAAAGATTAAAAAAATGTATAAATTTTTTTAATTTTATATTTTATAAATCGATCCCTTGTATCATTTATGTTATTGGATTCGGGTTGTCAGACAATGACATAAGTATACGCTCAATGTTTTAATTATTTTTTCATATATAATTTAGAGAGTAGAAATTTCCTACCTACATCCATAAAATTCGTGTTTACATTAAAAAAATAACGAGTCAATGCAGCATAGACCATCACATTGAGGACTTTCTTCTCAGGAACTTTTTCTTGGGAAAATCTGAAAAAAGGATGACTCGTGATTATGGATAATCCATATATGACTGAAATTGTGGTCACGAGTGATTAAAAAAAAAGTCATTTAGAAGGCAAGCCAATACACGGTGACAACAAAAATAGTGAAGGGAGCAGCTAGCTGCAACATGGGTTCAATATCATCTAACGCAATTGACTTCTACCTTAATTGTATTTCTAATTTGTACGCAATAATTCATCAAAAAAGCCAATCACTTGATTAAAATACAAAAGATGAAGTTGCTATACTAGCCATGGTATTTATTATTTCATTTCTCATAACACTAGTAGTAATAGTACAACATGCTTCATGAAATTCAGCATTAATTAATTCCAATTCTACAACTTTTATTTTTCTTCACTTTGATAAATTCATGTAGCATATCTTACTTTTTTTTTTTCCAGAAAAAAAAAAGTAGATAAATTGTTTTACCTAATCATAGATCAAAATAAAATATACTGTACTTGATAGAATAAAACAGTTCGACCAAATATTTTATTTTTATCTTAGTTGATCCCGATTCAATATTATAAGTATATTGATTTTTCACCAATAATTGAGTTATTTTGTCTGTGACTACTGTATATTTAATTTCATTCATAAATTTATTTTTTTTCAATAAGAAAAAGTATCAATAAAAAAGCTAATTCTTTTCTGTTCATATGTTATGATAACGTGAATATCAGCAGCAATTCGTTATGAACAGAGGATGAGATTCCATTGATACAAAGCCACTTCCATTTTAATATAAAAGTCAAGTAATTAAACTAAACACAAACTATACGACAATTTCTTCAACATTTGGGTCACTTTCCTATTCATATTTTCAAATGCTGGAATCAACCTCAACCCCATCAAAAATATATCATAGTCCAGCATCAAATGGTACGCCGGTGCCTGGAATCCAAGCATCTTCCGGCCAGAAATTCCAACAGTGGAATTTTCCGGCTTCGGCGGCTGTTATGACATGATATCCACCCCATTTCACCCTTCCACTAGTACTTGCACCGGCACCGGTGTTCATATACTCAGCATAGTAAAGAGTACTTAAAGCAAAACCTCCACTCCATGGTAACCAACCTTCCGCATCTATCAATCCATCCAAAACACACTTCATGAACACAGTTCTTGAATATTTCTGCCATGGCCTCCCCAAATAACTCTTGAACGAACCTTGAACAGCCCTCATATCTGACGACGCCATGACGCGTGAGTTGTGGATGATTGTGCCCGTATTCTCATTGGGATCGCTTCTTGCTTGTGCTGTCACGGTGTTCTTTTGACCGCTCATTGGTCTACGGATGTAGATGTTACAGTTTTGAAAAACAGCAACAGCGTCACCAAATATGAAGTCTATGGTTCCATATATGTCACAGTCACGATAGAATTGGCGTTGAGAGTAGACATATAAGGTATCCTGGTAACCTTTGAAGCTGCAGCGGTAGAAGACTGAGAAATCGGAGCCGGACCGGACGGCTACCGCTTGGTGTTTTTGGGGTCCGGCCGTGTTTTCAAAGGTCATGTCTCGAGCTATGAAGCCTTCACCCGCAACACCTGAGAGAAGAAACAAAATTCAGAGAGTAAACCAAATGACATGGATTATCGATTAATTATTTTGTGGAAAAGAACAGATGTTTGTCAAAAAGAAAGAAAAAGATGTTTATTTACCTTTTACTATTATTTTTACATATGTTGTACGGTACTGTGGGGGGGGGGGTTGTTGGTGAAATAGGAGACATGCATAAAAATTAATATGGAATATATTGCAAAAATTTTGACTTGAGATAAATTTGCATGAGTGTGTTTTAATTTGTTATTTAAAATTTTAACATTGTTCCTTAATTCTCTTTCTCTCTCTCTCTTTGTCATTTTATTTAAGTTAGGATAATAAACACGATAATGATAATTATTGTCTTGTAAAATTTGCTCTGTTTTTAATAAACATGTTTATTTGTTTTGACAAACATGTGTCTTTGTCATTTTGCCAAGCAGGATGTATCCCATCAAAACCAAGATTCTTGTAAGTTTTTATTTAGCAGTATTTTTTTTTTTTAATTTCATAGATAAATATATAAATAAAAGTTAATTGTAAAACAAATGTACACAATAAAATTTAAATATGCATGTTTCATTAAAGAGCTTACCAAAAGTTGCTGAACGAAAAGTTGTAGTAGTTTGAGCATTCTCGTTACCAGTAATAACAGTGGCTTCAATTCCATCCCCAATTAACATTATATTTTTAGCTGACCTCTTAATAACCACATTTTCCCTGTAAACTCCAGCTTTTACGTATAAACAGTTCTTTTGCCCCCACCAGCTGCTGCCACTGCCTCGGATATGGTCTTAAAGTTACCAGAACCGTCTTGAGCCACCACAATATCAGCTTTTGGTGCTGCACCGGTTTTTTGCAAGAGCTTTCGATCAGCAGCCGAAAGCCAAGATGGAAAGCCATG